AGCAATGTTAATTTTATCCATAAATGTTTATAACATTGCAATTTTCAAGCTCCTTTATATAAATTATCTTTTTTTTTTGTTGGTGGTGGTCATGGGGCTTGAACTCTGGGCCTGGGCACTGTCACTCAGCTCTTCAGCTCAAGGCTAGTCCTCTACCACTTAAGCTACAGTGCCACTTCTGGTTTTCTGGTAGTTTATTGGAGATAAGAATCTCACAGATTTTGCTTCCCGGGCTGGCTTTGAACCATGATCCTTAGATCTTAGCCTCCTGAATAATTGAGATTACAGGCATGAGCCACTGGTGCACGGCTATATCATCATCTTTGAAGCAGTATTCTTTCTTTTCCTGTGTATGTGTGTGTGGGGGGTGGGGGGAGTAGAGAGGGGGAGGATCTGGCAAGGTGCTGGTACTGGGGCTTAAACTCTGGGCCTGAATGCTATTCTTAGCTTTTTTGGCTGAAGGTTAGTGCTTTACAATTCACTTAATCATTTTGCTCATTAATTGGAATAAGAGTCTCATGGATTTGTATTTTTAGGCTGTTTTGAACTCAACCCTCAGATCTCAGCCTCCTGAGTAGCTAAAATTACAAGAGTGACTCAGTGGTGCTCAGCTTCAAGACATTCATTTACTTGAATATTTAATCATAACTAGCTAAATCAGCTGTACAAAATAAAATTCTTTAAAAGTAATGTTCAGGAATCTAAATTACTTTCTCTTCTTTGCCTTTTAATGTTAATCCAGAACGTACTAATTACTAATTTACTGATCGTGGAAGCTTAAAAATGCTTGTAAGTATTTGGAATGCATCTAGTTATAATGCACCATGAATCCTTAGGAAAAGGAGAAATGTAACATCATTGCCATTAGGTCTGACAGAAAAACAGCCCCCTTCCCTCTTTACCCCCATTTCGTGAACAAAAGTACCTGACTGAAACTGGTAATCATTGCGACTGTCAATCACTTCACTTTCAATTAACTAACTGACTGTGAGTTAGCAAAAGCCCTGCCCCCATACTCTGAGGTCACTTCCGCATCTGCTGCGGCCACACTTCCTCTCGCCCCTTCCCTATATAATCTTTCTTTGCCTTCAGTTCATACAACACCCTACTCTACGGTGGGGCCTGGAAGTTTGGCTCTCCCAAATAAACTCTTATCTGCCTGAACTCGCGGTGGTCTCATTTCAGCAACCCCCTACAATGAACATTTTTCAGGACTTTCAGCCTATATCTACTTGAATAAAATTTTAGGCCTAAAACATTTTTATGCCTGAACATTGAGTATGCAAATAGTTTCAAAGGTTATAAAAAACACTTTCCATTATTAGCTGCTCTTTCACTCTAATCCCTCAGATTAGATCAAGGATTTCAGTCTCAAGGATTTTTCTGAAAGAGTATCCACTTTAAGCAGAATTTCTATTTGTAAGAATCGTTACAGCTATTACTATCAAAAACTTAGTTCCCAAGTCACACTGATCTGTCTCAATGACTCCTACACATTCAATAAAAGTGAGACACTCTAGTACTCAGGTATGGTGGTAGATGCCTGTAATCCAAGCAATTGAAAGGCTGAGGCAGGAGGATCCTAAGTTTGAGGCCAGCTTGGGCTATATAGTGAAGTCCTGTCTCTAAGAAACCAACCACAACAAAAATGATACTGGAGTACAATTTGTTTTTTTCTGAAATATGTATATCTTACAAATTTTGATGAATCTAGAAATTGTAGAAACATGTGCCTGTAATGTGGAGCTAAAAATTAGTTGAAAAAAATGTCCCAGTTTTCATAAATAAAATATTCATGCCTATAATGTGAATTGAAAAATGGAAAATAATTGTAGATATAATAAGCTCTTTTTGAAAGCAAGTGACAGAATTAAACATCACTTTCCTACATATGTGGAGTGACATTTTCATTTTTTTCCAAGATCATTTAGTTTTTGTGTGACTCGAGTTTGTAAACATGCCATAATATCTAGTGATTACATAATGATGATTTCATGCTTCTGGCTTCATATAAAGGTGGCTAGACAGAGCGGCAAAATCAATTTCTTTTTTCATCTTTGTGGGAAGGGACAAAAGGAAATTGAATGCAAGATTTGCATTAAAACCGTGTCAGAATTTTAAGTCAGCAATCTGTTTTACTGGAAGTGAACACCAGGTGCAGTCAAGTGGAGTTACTGTGCTATGATACTCAGCCCACAGTTTTATCAATAAATAAAACCTTTGTTTAACTCTTGCCTTGTTTGGGTTTCATTACCCAGTGTTCTTCATTCCTATGACCTAATATTCTCTCTTATTTGTCTTGCCTAAAGTATTGAAAGGCAGGACTACTCTTGGGCAAAGTTCTAAAGTAGGTAAAACTTGTATTAACCCATGACCTTTTTCAGTTCACCTCCCTGTTCCCAGATATCTCCTCCATTTTCCCCTTGCTCACGATTTACCCTGCATCTTTCAAGGGTTCATTCTGTCTCCCGTATCCCAATCTTTCTGTAATTATGTCATTTCTCTGCTCAGATTATTCTGGTGGCCATAACAACAAACTGGGTAGCCAAATTCTTTTCTTCTTACCTCCAAGTTTTATTTCCTCCTCTCCCTCACATCTTCTAAGGCAAGTGGGTCACTCACCCTGCAATTTTTATTCACAAACTTTCACTCTGTGCTTTTTGCCTGAGAAGGCCTTCACACTTCATCTGGATGTACAGCCAAATTACTCATTCCAGCTTGTCTCAATAGACGCTCCTCCTCCAGGCCTCTCCTCTGCCCCTCATTTATACCAAACACACAGCGCTTTAGATTGTAGTAATTGTCTATGAGGCACTGTACTGTTTTCCTTGTAAACATAATCTCATTTAAATTTCACAGCATTCTCAAATTGAGGAAATAGAGACACAAATAAGTTACATAGTTTGCCCAAGGTCACACTACTGGAAAGACAGAACCAGGAGGTTGACTTGAAGTCCTACAATCCTCCCATATGCTCCTTGCTCTTTCATCTTTGAATGATAGAAGGAGGACCTATTTAGGTTTTCTAACTAAAATGCATTTATAACCAAAATAAGAGTTTATGAATAAGTCACTATATTCTTAGGTAGAACTGACCAACTAAGTAGAATCTATGATACATTGAGGAAAAGTGTGAGGGGGAAAATCCTTACTTAAAATTTTTAGAACAATTAAATGTGGTATGAGAAGCAAATGTTTAAGACAATTTATGCTTTGAGAAGGACTAGTGTACAGGGAAGTAAATAAATGTGGGGTTGACTTCCTGGAGTTTAACAAAATTGAGAGGAAGATGACACCAATCTACTGTGTTATACACTAACCATATCTCAGTTGGATGTAAAACCTAGTTTTTGCAGTATAGTGTATGCCTCTAATGTAGGATCTTGGATTAGTATTATTTGTCTTTTTCTAAATTTTTTATTGTGAAAATACTGTACAAAGGGGTTGCAGTTACAAGAGCAAGATAATGAGTACATTTCTTATCCAGTATTGTTGCCTCCTCCTCTGTTTTTCCCCTACCATCCCTTGGCCCTCGGTAGGATCCAGGTTTTTGGAGCAATCAGACTTGGCACTGGGGTCAGCATCCTTTCAGTTCTGAGGCAGAGGTGTACCACTTAGAAAATCCTATTTCTTATATTCAGAGGCTCATCCACTTCTGTTTTCTGAGGGTTTTGTTTGTTTGTTTTGTTTTATTTAGTGCTAGTAGTGGGGCTTGAACTCAGGGCCTTGTACACTCACTTGGCTTTTTTGCCTAAGGCTAGCACTTTACTACAGAAGCCACCCCTCCACTTCTGAGCATCTCTTGGGTTTATGTGCCTGGGCTGACTTCAAACTTTGATCCTCAAGTCTCAGCTTCCTCAGTAGCTCGGATAATTGGTACCCAGGTGAGGTTTTCATTTTTAAGTAATTACAAATTCACAGGAAATTGAAAAACTAAAACAAAACCCAATGGTTACATCATACATGATAAAATCCATTATCAAACCTGGGAAATTGATGTGATATATTTCCCATTAAGTATCAAATGAGAAAAATGAAAATCTATTCTAAAATTAACCTGGACATTCCATTCTACATTTGTTCTTATTCTCAAAATGCTAACCATGTTGATAGACCCAGTAAAATAAGGTCAGTCAGGTCTACAGGGAAGGTTCCTCCACACTGGTATAGGTGATACTCAGACTCCATCCAAATGCTAGGTTGCAGAGGATCTCACATCAAAGACAAGGATCTTCAAATATCTGAACTTGAACAAGTCACTTGACCTTTGTAAGCTTCAGTGTTTTCATCTTAAAGAATTTCTCCTGCCTATTTCATATAGGGCTGTTTTAAGGATCATATGTGATGGTATATAGGAAAGAGTCAAGTAGGCAGTGAGCTAGCCAACATGAAGATTATACTCTCTTCTCAAAATACTACTCATTATAGAAGTGTAGATTGCCAAAGTGGTCTTCTTAGAAGCTGGAGGAAATGACTTCCTCACTAGCTAGACATTCCATCTTATGCAAATGACCTCCCATTCTATCCCTAAGAAAAAAGCATTGGGGCTTACTTCTTGCATACTGGAAGTCATGAGTCTGTTTTAAAATAAAGACTACTTAACTGCTTCTTCTAGAAAGTTGATTGTATTTTAAGTAGCTTGTATTTTATTATGACTGCAAGATTACCTTTGTTATGACATGCAATATAAAACAGCTATTCATGACAATACTAAGAAATGATAAGGATACAAAATTAGACATTGGATAGTTGATGAAGTACATTTGAAAACCATGAAAGTGCTTTGTTTCTTTGTCTATATGGAGAAATTAGAGGAACTCACAGTTTTGGTTTTGAATAAGAAAGATAAAACTCTAATTTCGACAGTAAGGGTGGAGAAATACAGAGGAGAAAATAAAGTTAAATTATGGATAAAAGTCCTTGAGGAGAATGTTTTGAGTATCACAATAAAAATGTTGAAATCTCTTTTATTTTCCTTCCGTCCCCTTTTCCTTATACAGGCTGGCATGGCTCTGACCTACGACCCTACAGCTGCCATACAGAATGGGTGAGTAGATTAATACTCTCCATTTTCATTCCTAAGAAATGTTACAACTTTGAATCAGGATCAAAAGAAAACATTCAAATATGTTTTGTTTTTGTGTAGTATCCTTAAGCCACACATCAAATAATTCTTACCATTGTAATGGTCTCCTCTTTTGTGGTTCTGAGCTCCATTTTCACAGTTCCCTACCTAGGGATGCACTTTTCTGTTCTCTCCTCTTTCTCACTCCCATGACCCTCGTCCTGCTGCAGTGAGTCAGAACACCTTAGATGTGAGGGAGAGCGTTTGGCCTCTCTAAAGTTCTGTGAATTATGACTACTTCCTCTTCTGTCCTGCTCCTTTTGTCTTGTAATTGTAAACACATAGTCACTGGATTGTTGTTGTCTCTGATTTTCAGTCTTTTAAGATAGTTTGCTCAGTGGAATTGTCTCTCATTCTCATTAAAGAATCAGTCATAATGTAGGCTTCCTCAATATTAAGAGTAACAGAGTTAAGTTTCTTTTATTTATTTTTCTTTTTGAGTAGTGACCTTAATGAAAATGTGTAGAATGGGAGGCATTTAAATAATTAATTCTTATTTGACAAACAAGCATTGTGTGGGGAACCTTTGTTCTACCTAGGGCCTTTTGAATATTTATAACATTTTATATATACACACATATATATATATATAATCTTGATATATATATACATACATATGTAGCTTGATTTTTATTTTTTAGAGGAAAACCCAGACTGATTCCCATATGTTTTACACTAATTTACACTTCAACCAACAGTGCATGAGGATTCATTTCCCTCCAGCATTTGTTGTGGTTTTTTGGATGATTGCCAATGTGACTGGAAAGATATCAAATTTTGTATTACTTTTTTTAAAATTTGTATTAACTTTATAGCTCCCATTCTGTAGACTATCATTTCAGTCTGGTAACTGGTTCCTTTGCTGTGCAGAAGCATTTTAATTTGATGCAATTTGTTCATCAGTCCTTGCTCTTATTTTCTGAGCTATTAAAGTCTTATTTAGAAGAGCATTGTCTATGCCTGTATGTTCAGGTGTTTTCCCTGTTTTTACATAACAGTTCCAAAGTGTCAGGTTTTTAGTTTAGGTATTGCATCCACTTCGCATTAATTCTTGTACAGGATGACAGATAGATTTATTCTGAGTTTTCTACATATGGATATCTAGATTTCGCAGCACAATGTGTTAAAAAGTTGTCTTCCTCTATTCTGTTTTTTTTTTCCTCTTTTAGTGTCATCAATTTGTTCTTTAGTTTTTTTCTGATTTTTTAGGCTGTAGTAAATGGAATCATTTTCTTGACTTTTTTCTTAGAATGATCAGTTTGTACACATACAAAAGCTACTTAATTTTATGGCTTTTGTATTCTGAGTTTTTATTCTATTACTTAACTGGAAGTAAATAACTGAGCTAGAAGTTTTCTGGTGAAATGTTGGGAAGTAGTTTCATTTGTAAATAGGGATAATCTGATTGCTTCCTTTTCCTAATTTTATTAACTTAAGAGGTCTTTTGTGTAAAGCTTTGTTAGTCTTGTTTATATATTTAAAGAATCAATGTTTTGTTCATTGAGTCTGTATTTTTTTCAGTCTCTACTTCATTAATTTATGTTCTGATCCCCTTACCTCCTATTCATTTATTGTTTGTTTGTTTATTTTTTTTGCAACACTTGGTTTTTATGAACTCAGGACTTTAACTTTTCTAGATAGGTGCTGTAGCACTTAAGACATATATCCAGACTTTGTTTTACTTTTCAGGGAAGTTCTTATATTTTTTTTCCCAGACTGGCCTCCAAACATAATCCTCTTAGCTATAGGCTTCCATCTAGCTGAGATGACAGACAAACACCACCATTTGGGCTCTGTCCTGATCTTTGTTATATCATTTTGCCTACTAAGTTTGTGTGGCTTGTTTTTGTTTCTCTAAGAAATGGAAGTATATCATTAGGTTACTTATTTGAGATTTTTTGATATTTTTAAATTTAGCCACTCATTGTTAAACTTTACTCTCAGTATTGCTTTTACTGTGACCCAAAGATCTGTTAAGTTATGGTTCCATTTTCATTTAATCTTAGGAATTTAAATGTTTCCCCCTGTATTTCTCTAATCTTCCATTTATCATTCAAAACTATGTTGTTTAATCTCCACGTGTGTGTTTATTTTCTGTAGTTTTTCTTGCTATTTCTAATTTTTATTACATTATGATTTGATAATATAAATAGGAGATTATTTCTTTGCTTTGTATTTAGGTGTTTTTTTTTCTTTTTCTACTTTTTTTATTTTATTTATTTTATTTCTATTGAAAAGGTGATGAGCAGGGTGGTTACAGTTACATAAGTAAAGTAGTGATTACCTTTGTTTTAAACATTATTAGCCCCATCCCTCATTTTCTCCTGCTTACTTCTACCTATGCTTTGTATTTATTAAAGCTTATTTTCTGTCCTAAAATGTGATCTGTTTTGGAGAGAGTTCTTTAGGCTATTGAGAAGAATGTGTATTCCATAGTTGTTGGATTGGATAATCTTTCAATGTCTACTTCATCATTTGATCTATGGTAGAATTTAATTTGAAGTATATTTGCGGTTTTCTTTTTAAGATTTTGGTCTAGATGATCTATATAAAGATGATTGCCACATACTGAAGTTACTATTTTTGTATTAGAATCTCTCCTTTTGTGTCCAGTTGTGTTTATTTTATAAAATTAAGTACATCAAAACTTAGTGCACATATATTTACAGTGATGTCTTCTTGATTGATTGTTTCCTTTACCAGTATCTAATGAGTGATTAATTTTGGCTTGTGGACTACTTGTTCAGATAGGACTATAACTACTCTTAGTTGTTTTTGTCTTCTAGTTCCTTGATACCTCATTTTCTACACTTTCAGTTTTCATCAGTGTGTGTCTTTGCCTATGAGGTTTGTTTCTTCCAGACAACAAAGGTTTGTACCATTCTTTTAATCCAATCAGCCAGTCCATGGCTTTTGATTAGAGAATTAAAACCATTTGTATTTCCGGTTTTTACTTAATTTCTGTTTTCGGTGATTTGTTTGTATTTACAGGTTGATTTCAGTACTGTCTTGTCTTTCCTTTCACTTCTATTTATCATAAAAAGTAGTTGAGTTGAACACAATAGATTCTTTCTAATTCTCATGAGTTCATCTATTCTTCTCTAGATATTAATTTTTTTGTGAGCTCCCATTTTTATGACTTTCTTCCTCATCTGTGTATAGTATTTCTTTAACTATCTCCTGTAATGCTAGCTTAGTGGTCATAAATTGATCTGACTCGTGCTTGTTTTGGATGGTCTTTATTTCTCCATCAATTTTGGATGATAATTTTGCTAGATTCAGCAATCTTTATTGTCATTTATTGATTATTAGTGCTTGAAATAAGTCTGATGTTGCCTTTGTAAGTTAGTTTATATTTTCTCTTACAGGTCAATATCCTTTCTTTCCTATTATCTTGATATTTTAACTGTAATGAGACCTAGAGAGGGTCTTGTCTGCCTATGTTCACTTGGTGTTCTAACTGCCTCCTGTCCTTGGGTATCCAAATCTTTCTCAGTTAATTGGAAAGTTTTCTGTTATAATTTCATTGAATACACTTTTTATGCCTTTCATTTGCATCTCTGCAAATGCTAATCCATGGGTTTCTTGATTATTTCTGAGAGTTATTGAAGGTTATAGTCACGGCTTTGCTTATTTTCTTTTTCTTTTTTATTAAATGGTACAAGCTCTTACCATTTAGCCAGGACTTGCCTAGAAATCACTGTGCATCCCACACTGGCTTTGAACTCACAATTTTCCTGCCTCCGCCTCCTGACCTCTGTGATTGCAGGCCTGAACTACCATACCAAGTTCAAATGTTTTTTGTTTTTTCTTTCTGTAAAGTGATAGTCGGGTTTGAAATCAGGGCCCTATCCTTGCTAGTCAGGTGTTCTACTACTTCATCCATGGTCTCAGCATCTTTGCTTTAGTTATTTTGTGATAGAATCTCATGGTTTTTATTTTACTTCACAAAAATTATCTTTAAGTAGTTGTAAAAAAGGGTTTCATGTCCTTGGCTGGGACTGGCCTCAGACCTTCTTTGCCCACATAGGATTACAGGAACACTGTGCCTAGCTTTTCCCTTGAGAAAGGCCCTCACTAACCTTTGTTGCATAGGCTGTCTTCAAACCACAATCCTCCTATTTCTGAATCTCATGAGGCTGGAATTATATGTGTAAGCCATTGCATTCAGCTATTTTTTTCTGAATTTATCTGAATATAACATTTGTTTCATTTTATCTTGAATCCCAGATATTGTGTCTCTGTTTGAACTTCTATACTGATAATGCTTTGTACTGTGGTTTTAAATCTCATTGATAGAGCTTTTCACTACAAAATTTATGCATTTTTGTTCAACAACTCAAATTTTCTTGTGGAATTTTTTTATTCATCTCTCCTGGGATGCATACCAGTGAATGAATTAGTCAGTATTTACCTTGTTTTTCAACTTTTTTCTCTCTTGAATCCTATAATTCCATTCTTGTCTGTTTCTTCTTGTTCCCTACAGTTCTTGTCTCCTCTCCTGATTCCTACTCTTCTACCTGCCTTAGATATTTTTCTAAAGTTTAATATTTTCTAATCACTGCTTCTCTCTATTCATCTCATCGGCTCCTTTTATTTTAGAAACAAAAGACTCAACAGTGAAACAGAAAAGACTTGATCATAGCTAGCTGTAGTCTCTGGCCGTTTATTTCCAAATACTTAATAGATATTACTAGTGTTTTGATATTTCCCAAGCTAAAGGAAACATGTATTAGCACAATTGAAGTACAGACCACACAAATAAGTAAAAATAAATAAATAAAATTTCCAATTAGTTTTCATTAAAAATTTTACTCTAAAGCAACTTAGGTTAAAAACTCTAATTCCCAGAATTTTTTTCTCCACTTACATTATATGCTATCAAAATACTTATTATCATTTTAGGTGGACACTGGTGGCTC